GAAATTCAAATGGTGCAAAAGTGTTGAGCAGTAAAAATGGGATTTCAGTTTCCCACTGCTCTACACTAAACGTTGCTTGAACAAAATTACGGATAAATTAAAAAAAAAAAACACACAAATTAGGAACTTATTAGAAGCCTAGCCTATTGCTGAAATTGTCACAATTGGGCAATCAAACAAAATTAATTAGCCAGCGAAATCTAATAAGCGAACACACGACAAAACTCGAGCTACCTACTCCAGCACCCAGATGCGTTTTGAAGACTTTTACCACAAACAAAAATACACGATTAAGATATGTAACTAAGGATTTGCGAATTACAACACATTTTTTGGGTCAATTTAAAATATACGAATATATCAGCAACATGTATACCTAAATATACAAAGGACAGTGCAGCACCTTTTCTACCAACAACGCCAAGAAACAATCAAAATCTGCGTAACTCTGAGCTTCTTTGAAACCCCCCAAACAACTACACACAAGACATAATCACACCCAGACATGCAGGAGAAAGCTATTTACAATATAAATACAAATACATGAGATACGTGTACATGATTTGTACATTTTATATCACGCCCAAAGGACAGTGTAACTAAGTCTAAAGTATATTTGTAAACTATTTTCTGAGCACAGATTTTGTATAAATTTATTAGACACGCGCTTGTCCCCCGAGAAGCAGCCTTCAGCTCTTTTGCTTATACACAACTTAGGGTTTTTCCTCGTCTTATCCCCAACAACTTTTACCAACACTTTCCCCCAATTGGTTTTTCCACCCAGAAGGTCTCGCTTCTACTGTAAATTTTGTACTATATACAATGGTCTCTATAATGAAGGAACTTGAACCCAAACACGCGGTTAGCTGTGTACTATATATTATGAATAACTAAAGAATTGTTGAAACTGTGTAACTCTTAACTGTAAACTGTAAACTAAAAGCAAGAACTTTTTATACCTTTCGCAAAGGAGGCATTGGGCGTGGCTGAGGACAATTTTAGAGAACAAAAATAAAGATACTAACTACTAAAACAAATGCACAACAAAGAAATGAAAATCCAAGTCAAATTAAAACTATTTTTAATATTTACACTAAACGCAAGAAATTTCATGATTGTTAATTACAAATGAATGGAGTATTATGCAAAACAAATATAAATATATAGATAAATGGATAAATAACTAATCGGTAATCAAGTATTTAGTTTGTAAGAGAATCGTTTGGTACGGAATATTTGCACAGCCTTTCAAATCTGAATTTAGTGAATTTTGTTTAGTTAAGTTTGGTTTTTCAGTTCGACTTTGTTTAGTCTGCCATCGCCAAGACATCGACAGAAGTTATGATCTCCAATGGACAAACATCGAAGTAGAGTCAACGCTGAATGATCAAAATTTAAAATGTTCTACTTCAATATCTTCCAAGGACACTCGTTATTTTAAACTCCTCACTTCAAACTGCAATCTTCCAGACTTTTGTGCAGCAAATCCAGTAAAGAAAAAAATAGTTAAATGGATAAACATAAATGTAGGCAAGAGTTTGCTGTACTAACCAACCAAAACTACTGTGTTGATATGTGTACCTATGATAATTTCCTAAAATCGAATAGACAAATTTTCAAACAAACACGTGGGCAAACCAGAATAAATAAAATCAAATTAAATTATTCATGTTACTGGCACTAGCTAAAAAATAAGTGAAGCGAGCCGAGTAGGATAAATATAAACAGAAGTGAAATTTTATTTCGATATCGAAACTGATAAAGAATGCGAGTATTGGCCAAACAAAGAGACCAAACGCATTTCCCAACCGCAACAAAACCCACAAGCAACTGAAACTATTGAAAATCAAGGCCAAAACATGCATAAAAACCTATACTATACCTATACATATATATATATATATATACATATTTGAATGTGCAATTGTTGTGCTAGTTACAGAATACAAAGGAAACCAACAAAGAGCCCTCCTACATATATACTATACAGAATGCAAATGCAAATACAAATATTTTTAATTGCCACATTTGCAGGCGGCCAGCAGAAACAAAACGGCAACTATTTTCGATAATATACGTTACACAAATTCATTTCCTCTTTTCATGCCTGCCCCACAGATACTAAGTATTTATAACTATTATGTTTTTTGTATGCCAAGACAGAACTATAACAAAACACTCCACCGCCGAAACTTGATATGAATTTTTGAAAGAAACTACTAACGAAAAACCAAAGTAAATATATAGTTTTTTTAAATCGTATGTGTGTAATGCAAATACCAACGGGCCAGAATTCAGGTTCCTAAACTCCCCTCCGTAAATAAATAAATATATCTGAAAAGATATCTGAATAGATATCTAAATAGCAAACACTGCAAACTCTCTACTAACCCTAAGTACATAATTGTGTGTCTGTGCAACAGCTAATATCAAATCAAAACAAATCCATGCGAAAGCGATAGAAAAAGTACGAATAAAATCGAAACGAAGAAAACCCTTAACACATATTCAATGTAAATTCAACAAAATGCTGCAGAAAAACCATTATCAAATTCAATCAATAAATGTCAATGAATAATTAACTGGCAACTGTCTTTTACTCGGTGTGCAATCTGTTGGAAATTCAAAAGGGTTCGACTACAGGTGGCTAAAATAAAGATTGGCATACACTGGAATTGATTTCTGTTCTCCTTTTTAGCATACGATAAATAAAAATGTTTATTCAAAACCCTTAACATCCAAGGTAGTTTTAGTGGGACTATTCAAAACACATTTAAAATTTTAAAGAAGTAATCAAGTATTTTTAAATTGTTATGTTAATTTCATATATATTTTAATTAGAACTTTGCGTTAATTTTAATCGACAAGAGCTTCTTTATTAAATACTTTTGTTTTTTATAAAAAAATCTTTTTTATGTAATGGTTTCTAGAACGGATTCAGTATTCAGGTAATATCTAATTTTGCAAAATTGACCTTTTTTTAACTGATAAGCTAAAATCAATCCCCGCAACAGGCAATCGTCCGTTGTATGAAAATAAATTGTCGTTCCGCTGTCGGGGAAAATGCGGCCGGGAAAATGTTTACGGAATTGATTTGAGGCACTATCTGGTGCACGTCAAAGGTCTGGAGTGAAAGTGTGGAAAAGCTTTTATCTAAATTAAATCCTGACACATGCAATAGCTCCGTTGTCCCCTCCTTTTTTAGCCTTTTTTCCAGCACATGACGTACAAACGTCTTGCTATTTAAAGCAAGTGGCAAGGGTCACGTTAAAGCGATCCTTTGAGACATGCACACGTTTGTAAATGTGCCATTGTATTTAAGGCATATCCTAAACTTTTCCACGACACTCTCTGTTTGGAAAATCTGTGCAGTTTTATGCAAGTTTTATGACACCAGCCGAGGACACAGAGCGCACACAAAAAACTTTTTACGACTTGCAGTGCCAAAGAACAAACATCAGACGTTCTCGAGCTGCGCCTGATGCGTAAAGTAAACAAAAAGTAACGTACTACGAGCAACTGAAACAAATTTCCCAAAAAAATGCTCACACTTACAGGAAATGCTGACAAAAGAGAACCTGAAATAGAAAAGCAAGTGTGCATAGAATCCTGTTCGTGTCAGTATCAAACTTATCAAACTTAGAATAGGTTGACATCCGTTTAGCTGAAGAAAAAGGAAAATACGTTAAGGATTTTGGCTCCCCCAAGCTAAAGAAAATAAATATAATATAAATGTGAAACATATGTTAAAAGCCCCATCCGCAACTATAAAATGCACTTAATTAATCACCAAATTAAATAAGATATTTTTCTGGCTTAAGTACATGAGAATTTGTACTGAAACATGTAAATATTTATGACTATGAGAAATTTCCTTTGATGATTTCCCAGTTATGGTTAAAGTTACGCCACAACCCCTCCAAAAATGTGGATGCCAAATTAATTTACCAACATTCTTATTCAACCGAATAAACTAATGCAAACTAAAGTCCACAGAAGTTGTACAAAAGTTGTTGAATAATTTGAGAAAATTTTGGTATACATATTCTATTGCGCGCGGAAAACCAAAAACTACTGTTTATGTTTGAGCGTGTAACGCGAACTGGAAGGAAAAATGTGAAATGCAATATTTATTTACATGAGTGACCATTTTGAATATCATCAACAGTATAAAGTGCAACCTTAAACGTTGAATGGAAGGGGTTTTTGGGAAAAGTGACCCAGAGAGTCTGGGATCTGGCCCCATTATCGATGCCACTCATGCTAATGACATGATGCAAATTAAGCCCCAACTTATACCTCACCGCCTGACCCCTAACGCTCCAGCCAACAGTCAAAAGCATTGCACAGTCACGTGCGGCAGCTGGCCAAAAGTGGTGCCTGTCAGCCAATGAAGCCTAATGTAGTAAACCTCAGATGCACCTCACCTCCAACCCCAGTAACGTCAACATCCTCCCCCCCCACTCCCACCCCCACTCGACCTCAAACTGCACTGAAAAAAGGTCAATCGCTACAGCGGTAACTTTAATTGCACAAATATCTCCAAATTCAAATGATTATTGCCTGTGTAATATTATAAAAACTCGTTAATACATAAATACAGCTTAAAATTTTACCTGATGTTCCACGTTAATCACAGTATTTACATCTTCCAAAAAAATAAAAAAAATATAATTCAAAATTTCATTAATGTTATAGATAGCGCCAGGCATTTTGATCACATTATTTTTTCCTGTGTGTAACTAGACGTGCACGTGTTGCAGAAGTTTCGGTTAACAGTTATTAAATGCAGTTTTTGCAGTTTGACAACAAAATGTAGTCGCCAAAAGTGCAAAGTGCAGATGGTGGAGACCGGCACGGCCAGCAGGCCAGAGAGAAAAGTTGGGAAAGAGCCCGAAAGGCGTTGAGAGGCAGTCTTGGCCAAGAGCAGAACCGGTTCAAGCCGCGTTTTAGACCAGTTTAGACCACTCACAGGTGCTGGAACGTTGTCGCAACTCCCGGGCGATCAGTTCGAGCTGAGATCGCGACGCGTTCGCTTCGATTTCTTACCCGCTAGCCGTGCATTTTCGATCCCCGAGATTGACAAACAATACAAACGCAAAACAAAGTTGTACTCAAAAAAAAAAACAAACAAAACGCGTAGCAAATTCAACTATTTTTAGCGGATTACGTGAGTGTCATTTGAATTTTTTCGGCGTGAAGTATACGCCCGATCTGCTGGCGAGAAAAAAAATAGAACAGAGTTCCGTCCAAATTTGCTCACCATCTGTATCTGTGTCTAAGCCAGAGTTTTCTATATGTATGTGTGTGTGTTCGAGTGAGTGTGTTGGTGTGTGTGTTGGCCAGCTCCAAAACCTGCTGCTATTATTAGCCTTAGCCAAGATTATGGGCGATTTCATTATGGCGCTGCAATTTGCTGAGCCGCCGCAAAAAACAAAAAAAACCAATGGTTTGGGCCGAGAAGATTTGAGCTTAGTTAGACGAGTTCCGAGTCTTAGCCATTGTGTTTGGGCCGCCTCGAACCGATTCAAACCAAACAACTTGGGAGAAGCTGCAACGCCTTTTCATTCATTCATTCATGGCAGCGATCGCGATTATATCATACACCTCGCGATCTATTCCATGTATCAACGTGTTGGCTGGCATTTTGGCCAGAACCAGTAAAGGTTTTTGGCCCACACACACACACCGCACACACATCAAAAACACCAACGCATTTGCATATCTCTGAAGGAGACTACGTCATCGCCTGTATTTATATTAATATTTCTCCACTTCCACATCTCTTGCCATGTTTGCTTTTTCGATTTTCGGTGCAGCAGCCAAGTGAAGTGTAATGAAATGTGTACAGCGGCCAGAAACTAACAACCTGTCGCTGTGGCTGGCAAAAAGCGTTAACAATAAATAAGCGAAACAATACCAACAGCACAGCCAGTTCAACTGTATAACAATGTGGAGAGAAGGTAAGCCAGTTTTTGTATTTTTATTTATTTTGTAGCCCCCAACAGTGCCGTGGATTACATTCCCATATATACATATTTAGAGGAAGTTGTGTGGATGCACAAACAAGTATGCAGAGCAAAAAAACTCAAGGGTATATGTACCAAATCAATATTGATTTTGTTAGAAACGTTCCAACTTAATTTGCAATGAGTTAGGTATTTTTTGGGATTCAAAAATCTTTGATTTAAGATCAACTGTTTCTAAGGTTAACTTTGAACACATTTTAAGGATTGAAAGGATTTATTATTTTCTAAAAAAGTAGAAGTATATCTGCTTTCTTAGTGTATGTTCAACTTGTTTATTTGCCAGCAATTTGTTTTTGGCTCAGTGGAATTGCATTTTGAGCATCTTAAGGTTGTCTTCCACCTTCGGTTTCGATTTCCGCAAACGTTGAACTGTTTGCGGGGGCGTTCAGTTTGTGATTCCATTGGTGATTCGGTGATTCCATTGATTACGCACCGGTTGACCCTGAAAGTGTCAGCCAAACGGCGGCTAAAGACTGGCCTTATATGAGCATGATTTGCTCTGTTGTTGGCCACACAACACAGCACCGCATAACACAGTTTATTCGCCTTTCGGTTCACCATGGTGGTGTGTGCTTATGTCATTTGTCAGCAGACCAAACGTAAACCAGAAAAGGATCCAAAATGAAAATTCCAGTGAAAAGGCACTTTGGTCATTTGGCAGAAAACTGCAATCTGTGGAAATGCCTTAAGGCGATGAGGACCCGTACAAATGCCAATACCAAATGGATCAATGAGTGAAATTTAATGGCTGTATATGCATTTAATTTATTGCTTTCTCTTTTTTGATTGCTTGCAAAAGGCAACTGGGAAAATGCTTTGACATAAGCCCTTACCTAACGATATTATCATATCGCAGACGTCAGAGGCACAAAGAAAAGCGTTTTCAAATGACTGGGGGCTTATCTATAGCATGTACATCTGCAGCTCCCATAGTTAATCTAGCTCCACTCCACTTTTTCTCCATGCATCCCACTGTGCATAACAGAACTTGCTTTTTCAGTTCAGTTCGGTTTGGTTTGGTTTGGGTTGGCTATTTTTCTTCTGTATTATTTTTTCGTGTCTTCGCCGCTGGCGATGTTTATGCTTAAAAGCCAGCCATGCTTAGCACGCTTACCATCCAATAAAAGTTGCAGCAGCAGCAACAGCAGCTGGAAATTCAAAACCAACGCCAGCGGCCAAGAGTTTCTAGTTTTTCTCTTCGCCGTTTTTTTTATATATTTTGATGACAATGTTTTGATAATAATGATAATTTTCTGTGTCTTTTATTGTGCCGGTGTTTGGGGTCAACATGGAACTCCGTGCTCGTGATTGCGCCAAATTCGGTAACAATTAGAGGTAGCGAAGATAACTTTTGCACTTAAGCAACTGCTCATGGTCATCAGCGTAATTCAGCGAGATGCAGCGAAAGTTGCGTAATAGCAATGTTGCGGTTTATCGCAGACAGACAGGTTTTAAAAGGCCAATTTGCAGCTGCACATGGTGCGTATACGTGTTAACCGAAAACAACAGCGAACCATTGGCTCGAAGCCAACTGAATCCTCATATGCAAATGCTCGACGACCATCAAAAAAACACAAATCAATCAGTGCTAATCACCTTTGGCAAGTTGGTTATATAAACTCAAGGTACAGCCCACAAATAAGCAATCTACAGACTCCCAGCTTTTGCAATCTTCACATCTTGGGTTTGCGTGTGAATCTAACAGACAACTAAAAACCAAAAAACCAACCAACTATTATGCAGGAACGAATGAATTATCAAACCAGCTGCAACTTTCATTTGACATTTGAGAGCGTATGCAATTGAAATCTGCAAGCTGACAGATGACGCCGATGATGTCATCACATATACGTAATTAATGCCCCGTGTCGCTTGCACACTCATTGCGTGCAAATTATACAAAAAAGTATCAGACATTCCGCGGTTGCAGTCGGACGACTGGCTATATAAATCAACGATCGACTCGCAGATCGATGCTAAGTTGAATGCTTATTGAATCAATGATGCCAACCGGTTTTGGGCAGCGATCTCTCGGCCAGATTCGAATTCCTTTAGATGTTTTTAGGGTATCGTTCACCAGAAAATTATGGGTTTCATTTGATTCACAACATCGTTTTTATACGCCATTACCAGCGGCTTAATTATATTTGTTGTACACAACATTTGCATATTAATGGAAGAATAAAATGAAAAAAAAACAATACTTTGTTTTTCAAAATTATACTTATACTTTTTTATTATATGTTATTTTATATTATATATATTTGAATGTCATATAATACATATTATCAAAAAGTGTCTTCGTATTTTTTAATAATCTAATATCAAGCAAATAATTTACTTTATTTTATGTTATAAATGAATTATAACCCTCTTAGATTTTTAATTTGTAAGCTATTTCAGCAATAAGAAAAATAATTATACTTTTAATTATGTTATTTACAAATAATTGTGTATATTTATTCTTACAAATTAGATTAGCAACCTAACATCCTAGTAAAAACTTTACCAGAATTGTTATAAGAAAATTGGCTTTATTAAAAACCCATTAAAAACATAACAACTTTTTTAATTTGTTAGCAGCAATTTGAGTAGATATGACCTCACAAAAAAGTATTTAAAGGAAATACAAGAATTTAATTTATATGCATCAATGTATGTATAGTGTACCGGCTTTATTACTTCCTTTAATTTCAATTTTCGATGTTTTAGCTAGCCAAAAGCCGCAAAGAAACCTTATAAATAGCCACATCTCGGTTCGATTAGTTCTGCTTGGCATGGGAAACAATTATAAGTGGACAAACAGTAAACAAAGCTCAATATTCACAAGCTCTTCAATGCTAAATCCATAACTCAGTGCGCCCGAATCGGAGGCAAACGTCCAGAGAGCTATGACAACGTCCTCAGTTTCAACATCTAATTGAGTGAACAAGCAATTGATGAAATGTGCCCAAAACAGAGAAGCAATCAAGTCAGTGAAAAAAAAAAAAACAAGAAAACTTGTTGAAAACACAGTTTTTGACTTCTCGAGTGCCCTAAGCCTTAACAATGCCAGCCAACCGCAATTCTGTGAGCCACACTTGACATTAAAGCATTTTCTCAGGGGCTAAATCCACGCCCCCGCAGATCTTCCACGTCGGCCGATAAGTGGCTTGAAAATTATTCATGTATTCCGAGCAAAGGCAAATATTATACAACATTAACTTTGCCAAATTATAAAAGGCAACACCCCTCTCATAAATCGCTATCTGTCTGCGTTTGCCGCCAAAAGACCTTGACGGCCAGCCAAAGTACAACAAATAAAAACCAACTGAATGAAGAAAAACTTTAAATACAAATAGCCGACAACAAAAGGCAAAAAACTCTCAAGATTGTGTTTGATATTTAGCGGACATTCGTTAGATTCAACATACATATTTTGTTTATTTTCTTCTACGGTTTGGTCATCTTCACAAAAATTCGCGTCATCAGTGTTCACATAACACGATGATTAAGGAGGAGATGTCATGCAACCATTAAGCGATAATTAACTTGAGCTCAGCTTTTTAAGGAAACCCAAATGGAATTCCTAAAAGGAGAAAAACTGGTGCTGGAATATCCGCCATACCGCGAAATAATTGTGAAACAATGTATTGCGAAAAAGCCAGTGGTCGCCACTTAACCAGTTGCAATATTAATTGATCTCTATCCGTGTCCCGGGCGCATTAGAATACCCGTATCAGCCACCAACTGGGCATTCTCGATTAAGCCCAATCCAATAAAATTCGCTCCGATCGGAGCAGCTGCATCTGAGCGTGGGAAACCCATGGCGGAAAACTGGCCAAGGCGGACACAAGGGGCCCGGGATGCTAGTCGGTGGATGTGGATGTGGATATGAATGTGGATGTGGATACACGATCTATAGTTTGCATATGCTTATGTGTCGATTGGTGGCTTATTATTTGATATTTAAGGTCTGCTTTTATTTGCCTGCACTTTTTTACCTGGACAAGTGTAGCCACAGACATTGTTGTCAACTTGCCAGTTGTGCAATCGAAATGAAACTAATACACAACTACAGGCAAGCTTCCTTTGATTCAAACTTATTATAAAAATTGCCAATGTTCCTATCATGGCGGCTTTACTCCAAAGAGCTTATTCTTACCGTTTGATTAATAATTTCAATAGAATTTTAAATATTTTTAAATTAATTTATTCGTTTCATTCCTTATAAATTTTTGTTTTCTGATTAAAAACGTTTAATTAAAAATTCATCGGAAGGAAGTTTAGTTGCCATACTATGAAACTAGTTTTTGCAGCAGAGTATATAGATTCAAAGGCCAAATGGTCAGGAAACTCATAACATTTGAAAACTCAAAATATATCTAGCTTAGCACATATATTCTATTTTATGGTTATGCACTTTTAGATTTAAACCAATTTTTTAAAATTCAAATGCTTGTTGCGAGCTACGCTTCATACTCACTTTAATCAACTAACTTGCAAAATACAAATTGTAATTGTATACAAAATTAAGCTCACGAAAATTGTTCCTTCAATTTTTTTTACAATTTTGATTTCAAAAGGCTTTTGGATCAAGTAAAGTTTAAGGCTTAAGGCAAAAGTGATTGTAGGGCTTAGGAGAAAATTAGTCTGTTTAACTTATTCTTATAACATATTGTCATAGGGAGTTTCGACTGTATTTGCACTACGCCGCACGTTTGTAATTCGATCTCTATGAAAGTCTTTAGATCAATAGATTACAGCTGCGGACTAGCTTTATGGGTCGTAAAAATGGCGCACTGAGTGTGTCTGCCTTTGATGGCTCGCCGGGCCACTTGTGCAGTTATTTGAACTATTAATGAAACCGAATTATGTGCCGCAGTCGAAACAGAAAAGCGGCACACGGGGGCAAAAGCAAATGTTATAACGGCATGGTTTTTGGCGGTGGCATG